TGCAGAGAGGAGATTGATAGCTGATGCTGCAATAAAATATCTGAGTTAAGTAAGGCAGAATTAATATATCAATTTTCTACTCCACCATTACATTGGACCTAGTTCTATCCCACAATATGCAGTCAGGGATTTGACATTTTAAAAGACTCTGAATTAACAGTCAGTCATTAGAAAACTATAGCTGTTTGTAATGTTTGACTTGTGATGCATTTCATCTCTTTTTTCTGTTTGCACAAAGATGTAACTATCAACAAATGCCACCAAGATAGTAGATTCCTGTGTCAAACACTGCATTTTATGAATCACATTCCTGGAGACAAACAGATCTCAAGGGTTCGAATGGTTTCAGATAAATTATGGCCCTATGCCTCCTAAATGCCATGAACATGGAAGGAATTGAACTCTCACAATGATCAATCCTCAAATTATGCAGGATTATCAGCCAGGATGGAAGAGTTCTGAATGCATATTCTTCTATGACATTTTGACTCACCTTGATAAATGCATTACCCAGCCATGGATTTGGGATTATAAAATGTGCTATACCATGTATCTTTTGGATCGTGTATATTTGTGAACAGGAATCTGTGAAGTAAAATGGATTAAATGAAGGATAATGCAAGGAGGAAAAAACATGCAATTATTATCTGCATAGATACATGTCATTGTAGATGTAAAATGCTGATCAAGTGACAGCAATATAGAGATGATAAGAAGAAAAATCGAAGCAAAGAGAAAAGTGGGATAGAACTGGTTATGACTTCACTACGATCATCATAAAACTCAGGAAGCTTGCAAAACAAGGAATTTTCCCTTTCATGATGTCCAAAGTCCGATGATATGATTGTAAGAAAATAGCACACAATGCAACAGACACAGATTTAAACTCTTGACCTTTATCTAGTGTCTATGTTCTAGACACCTCAGTTTTTATCACAAATACAGGTAGTCCTCGACTCACAACCACAACTGAGCCCAAAATTTCTGTTGCTAAGCTAGACACTTTTTAAGTGATCTAGGAAAATACTTTTATTCATTCTACCATTGTTTTGTGGCCTGAACAACATTGGTCTTAGTACTGCATTAGGCAATCATTTCAATGAGCCTGAATGAATTATTTTTGCTTTAAAATATTTGCCAACTCTTCGCCGACAGATTTGCTGATACAAGCTAACACAGACCTCTCATCTATCACATGTCATTGAAATGTAAGATAGAAATTGTTAACTGGAGAATATATAAGAATACATGCTGGTTTTTTAAATTAAATTAAAGGATTACAGCCTAAGTTCTAATGGTGACAGATAGCAAAGCCCATTTGAAATAACATTATTTTACTGCCAATTTGGAAACACTGTATTTACTGTATTTAATGAAACAGGCTGAATAATGTGGCAGAGTATAAATTGACTGAATAAAATTAAAGGAGAACCATCCTTCACTACCAAGTGTAATGTTAGACAAGACACTGAAAAACCTTTGCAGCAAGCTTTACTAGAGTGATTTTCTATTACAATATTGACAGTAATGATTTATCCTTGTATTAATGATTATTTCCATTAGAAAATAGCCTCCAGAAGAGGAATTGAATCAAAGCCTATGTAAAAATAAACCTAGAAATACAGGAAGGAAGAAACTATGTTGAGTAAATAAAATGTTACTATATTAATAGAAGAGTTCGTTAATGGTAAAAAATATTTAAGTTTGTTAAAATCTTTCTTTTTCAATTTTTTTTATCAAAAATCAATGTGGGTGAGATAAAGGAATAGAGAACTTCAAGGGTTGAGGGAAGTCACTCTTTATTAAGAATAATTATTAGATTATTACATTAGATTGATTTTCAGTTTGCCTCCATAGAAAGGCCTCCTTTGTTTAATACCTTGAGAATATACATTGGACCTTGATAGAAAAGAAGGACAAATGTGTTTCTGAAACTAGGAAATCCAAAAATTTGTGAATATATCCTTTTCATAAGTTATAGAATAACAACCACTTGAAAAGATTTTGTATTTCAATTATTTATTTTTCAACAACTGGTCAAATGGAGAATGCAAAATAGCTGCTGTTCCAAACGAGTAAATGTTTGGATTCTGTAGACTGTTATGATGCATTACAAATTTCATGTCATTTAACATCATATTGAGTGGACATGTTCTCTGTTTTAACAATGTGATTTACTGATTATGTGCCATCAAGTTGTTGTTGACTCTTAGTGACCACATATTTTTTCCCCATTGCAATCTGTACCTAATCTGGTCTTACAAGTGTTCTGATGATGCACTCATAGCCACTCCCCCCCATCTCAAAAGTATCCAAAGTCTTGTTCTTCTGCTTTTTTAGAGTTGAACCTTTGCTTCACAAGAGTGTCACAGGGAATACCATGGTTTGCATTATTCTGATTTTTGTAGGTATAGACAAATCTCAGCATCTGAATTTATTTTTAAAGCCTTGTGACACAAAGCCTGTGTCAGTGCCCAATCTAAATTTTATTAGTTCTATGGATCATAGGCTCCACGATTCTAGGACATATTGTTCAAGCAACTGTGGGAAGAATCCAGAAAAAGAAATATTTGGGGGAATATTAAAAAGGCAGAATATATTTCCCCAAAGGAATAATGGAGAAGATTCTTTAAAAGATAGAAACTTCTCTCTCCCCCCCCCCAGCCAGACAACTCAGCAGAAACCAACTTTTAGAAATGCAGATATAATAATCCATTCAGGAAGGTTGGAGCCGCCAGCTAGAAGCTGAAGAGATTAGGAAGACAAAAACCCTTAAATCTACATACTCCACCCAAATTCCAAAACAGGACATAATAGGATTAACCCACCAATACTAAAAGGGCACACTCAAACTCAGGTCAAAGTACATGACACAGGAAATAAAAAGTCTCAAACAGGAACAGGAAACAACCTCAAGAGCTCCAGAAGGTATAAAAGCCCACCATTCTGTTCCATGTGGTCATTTTTTTCAGAGCCATCTTTCTGTCTGGCTCTCCTCTTCAATAAACTACAACCTTCTTTCTAAAGCAGTCTCCATGTTGTTTATTCCTGGCTTGAACTGGACTCTGATGAAGATTTTCCCTTCAACACATTTGATGGGTCACCCTTCTCTTACTCAGATCTAGAAAAGAGAATATACAGTATTCTAAAGATTATATATTGACAGTATAAGGTAACATTTGGCTCACTGATAATGGACCTAATTATTAATAATCAATACTTATTTAAATATTTATTTGATAACCATGGTATAGAAAAAAGAAAATTAGGCTCACTGCTTTATGGACTATTTTGCACAAGGGATCTGCAGAAAAAGTCTTGATGAAGTAAGATATGATTACGTTAGGAAGCTGAGAAAAGGAGTATCTCTCAGATGACATTTTAAATTTGAAGTAAGGCTGGCCCCAAATATTTGCTTTCCCCAAGTTCTAATCTACAGCAATCAACTCAGTCAAGCTATTGGAGCCCTAAGGCAGACGATTTTCTGCACTCTTCTTTCCTATAGCATTGTTATATTTTAACCAAGATTTTGCTTTCATAATATCTTAAATCACTTGCCTGTGGCAGACTGTTCACTTTAATTACAGGGCTATAACTGGTTTGAAGGTACTTTATTAACTGCCTTCATATCTGCAATCCATATTTTTAAATACTGTGAGATAGCCTTTCCAATCCCTAAAGCTTTAGATAGATCCAGTTAAATTTCACAGACATTCAGAGCCCTTAAAGCAGCCTGGTAAATCTCATCATTTATGCTCATGGTGTTTTTATTTCTCATATAAACTTAGGCTTTTAATAAAATTTGTTATCTCAAAAAATGTTGCCAAACTCCTAATCTTTGACTGCCACAGCCAAAGAGGTGGCTCTTCTCCAAAAACGTTTGTCATGTGACCAGTCTATTAAATTGACATCATTTGATCCAATTTCTCTGTTTACAAAATGTATCTATAATTAAAGAAAACTGCCCCATATTTATAAACACTTTCTACTGAAGTTATCAATAATTATCTAATCTGCCAGTATTTTTTAAAGTTTAAATCTTCTTACTTAATCAAAGTGAGCTGTAAACATAGGTCTGCTTGGTAAAACATCTCATTTCACTCTCAGTTTGCATCTGTATATTCAATGAGTCTTGCCTTCTAAAACTGCAATATACTGTATACATATCTTTCATTTCACAGATTCTCAGTTGGAAAAAAATAGTTAAATATGGGTTTTATATTTAAAAGAAGTAATGGAAAGTGATTGTGTAGATGACTAGAAAGTTATATCTAGCTAGAAGAACATCAGAAAAAGAAAAGAGTGCATTTTGATAGGCAATTGGAGAAAAAGCAACTTGTTTTCAGAAATTCAGTCCAGACTGTTGGAAATCAATGGCTACTGGTTTCTTACACATATTCCACCTGAAGCACTCAAAGGTATTTCCTGTTAAATGCCTTTGAATTACTGGCTTTTAAGAAATACTTTGATAATGACAAAACAAGCCTATATCAGAAAAGCAGATGACATTCCACGGCATGTGGTATAAATTATTGATGCTGACTGTTCTATCATCTCTGAATGTTACCTTGAAAAAAACAGTTGAATAAAACATGATTTCTGAACGATACATTGTGTGGCTGTCTTGAAAAATGGATGCATACTCAAAGGTGGTATGTTCTGCTTAGAGGCTAATCAGGCCAATGGTAAGTCTGTTACAGGATGGTCTTCACTTTTAAAAACAAGGAAAGAGCCCAATGCATTCTGACCAAATATGAGTAAAATATTTTATTAAAGGTTACTTTGTAGCAAGTAGGGCAGCTATTTTTCCATCATTCTTGCACTTGCATGTAGTTGCCTAGTGACTCTGTCTTCTCTCTCCTAGTTACAAAAGTGTCCAAGGAATAATCTGCAGGGCCAGATAAAGTCACTTGGGTCTAATCTGAGTTGGATTCTGGCCATGAAGTTCCTTTGGAATTGTCTGTGGCACGGTTTAGCTTGGTTAAATGTTAAGACTTTGAGTCTATTAGTCCTGGGGAAAGGCAGTGGACAAGATCTTCAAGGCTTTAAGAGCAGCTACCTGTATTGCATGCATGTCTCTCCTAGCTCGATAAGGCTCTCTGAGAGACAACACAAGACGGGAACCAAGTAGTGGTGAATACATCTTTCAGGAAAGGGTAGGTCTGCAGGCTCTGAAATAAATATCTAACTTTATCCCTATCCCTGTTTCTATTTCTTCCATAGGAAAAACAAATTGTTTTCTCAAATAAAATAACTTTAGAAATCAAGCAAAGTGCTTGAAATTATACACTATTTACTAGCATTGGAGCTATATCATGCTGATATCAATCCTTTTTTAAAAATCGACTAATGCTTAATTTTAACCTCTCCATGTGAATTCAAAGACCTAGGGTTCAAAGCAGCACATGTCTTGATGCTTCTTCATATATCTCAAAGCAAATACATTAAACCAAGTAAATATTTTCAGGAGTTCTGTTCCATTTATAGAATTTTAATCTAAGTGAATACTTTTTTGTTCTTTCATACTTTTTCTGATATCTGCATTGCTGTATTGTAATTATTGTTTTGTCGGTATTTTTATTATGATAATTATTTTCTATATTTTATTTATTGCCTAAATTTGAATGCTATTTTTTTATTACCAACTATCTTAGAAACTACTTTTCTGAGCAATTTCATGCAACTATACAAAAATGTTAAAATAAATCCCCAACGTGACATATTAACTCTACATAAATTGTTTTCTCGGTGATAAGGAAGGTATGGCCTGCCAAATACTACTCAGCTCTAATTCCTACCTGTCAACTAGAATATTTAATGAATGATATTGTTGGAATTGTAGTGGAGTATTATCAGGATAACCATAATTTCCAATCTTTCCACTAAGTGAATTTCATTGTATTCTCAGTCATATTTGTTATAAGGATGCTAATGCACTGTTATTACCATCAACATTTCAAAGTTTAAAAACATCACCAACATCCTGTCACTTAAGATCAATGCCCTGCTAGGACAAAGGGAGATTATTTTTTTTACACAGAATTTATATGACTGGATTGATAAATCCATTTTGATTTGCTAAACTTTACAAGGAAGAAACAATTTGTAAATAATTCCAAGAAATTTTCAATTTTATAGTGAAATCACAGAATACAAACTGTGTTAATATTCCAACAGGATTCATCACAAACATGAATATTCCAAATCCTTTTAGATATCTTACAGTATATAAATTTGGGATCACCATAAGTATTCTGATCTGTACGAACATTATTTACTTATTATTATGAAATATTTGCATATTTGGGCAGAGCAGCCAATGTTACTCATTTTGTTTGGCATAGAGAGAGAGGGAGAAAAATATGTTATTATTATCATTGGTCGCACAGTTAGCTTGATGCAGCATTTTTGTCAATCTATCAAGTGCTTCCCAAGGACCTAGGATAGGCAGATATTCTTTAATAATATTGTAAGTATTATCACCAGATATAAGCACTTTCAAGCAAAGTTGCCTTTTGCAACTGACTGTGAATTTGTCAATGCTGATGGTGTTCAAGTGGCTCTCTAGATATTTTGGAATTACATCCAAATCACTTATTACTATTTCTTTTTTGCTTTCCTTTATTACAGTTGTTCTATTTCTATGTGCAGGTCTTTATATTTTGAGATTTTCTCTAGTCCTTTTTCTTCTCTTCTGCTGTTTTCAGATATTGCAATGCTATCCAGACTTTTTTGTTGTTGTTATCAATAGTTGTTAAGTCTGGGTTGTTGTGTGACAGATACTTGTCTATTTGAATTCTAAAGTTGCAGAGCACTTTAACTTCTTCATTTTTTTATTACTTTGTCTATTTTGTAATTCCAAAATAGTTCTTGTTCTTGTAGTTCTTGTTTGCAGACTAGTGGTATTTCTTGCAGATGTTGCAATACTCCAGTTTTGCTTTTTTGTCATACTGTTGTTTGTAACTAGTCTATGAGATCATGTAACAACTGTGGTTCACTTTCTCCAGCATGATTGGATGGAGAATCCACTAGTGGGTTGTCTTAATCTTCCTGCTCCAATCAGACTAAGTCAGAGTTAAAGTTACGCCTCCCTTTGTCCCCATGCCCCTTTTTCGACTTAGTTTCTTGCTCCTCAGATATATTTCAAATATCTTAAATTCTAGACACCTCAGAAATTAATTTTTCCCCTTTTTCTCCCTCCATTTGCTGCGAAGGTCTTACCTGGTCTTCCCTGCAACTTGCTGTACCTCCATTTCCTCAATTTCTTCAGAGATCTAGACTGCCCTGCAGCCTACAGGCTTGCTTCCCAGCTGACTTATCTTGGGCTCCTCGCGAGTCAACAAAGCTTCCCAGTTTCATCGGCTCAGGGAGACAGGGCACCAAAGCTCAGCTGGCCTTCGCAAACCGTTTTTTTTGCTTCCAACAGCCAGCTGATTTAAAAACAGCGTCGGCAAAGGCATCGGAGAGTCGGAGCACTCTCCAATCGTCGGAGGCCTCCCCAGGAGTCTGCTGATCACTGGAGGCCTTCCAGAACAGTCGCCGATCGTTGGAGGCTTCAGCTGATCGTCGGAGGCCTCCCCAAGCAGAAGCTGATCGTCGGAGGCATTCTGGATTGTCGGAAACCTCCCTAAGCGAACGGCCGAGCTGCGCAGCATAGGTAGAGGCACCTGAGTGTTGGAGGCCTCCCTAGCTTTACCGCAAGCTCCCTGCAAGGCCGTTTGAGCTGCTGAGCAATCCAGTAGCCAGCTGATCATCAGAGGATTGCAGGCTGCATCGGAGGACCCAGACAGGTCAGATCTTTATCTTGATCATTGTAGGAGCCAGGAGCTTCCAACTGGAGCAGGGCTCGCCCCTAGAGGCCTCACCTGAGCTGTTTCACAGTCTCTGAGGTAAACTGGCCGTGCATTTGGCACACTTCTTATGGCCGTCATTTTGTTTACAGTTTCTATTTGAATTTCTGGCCTTGTTTCGCCACCGACAGTTCGGCCTGGGGAGGGCAAGCTCATCCCTACAAGGACGCATGCCTTTATCTGACCCCCTCACCCCCCTCACCTGGGTGCAATGTTTCATCAATTTTTGGGTCTTCAGTGGCTGATTACAACGCTCGAGGGGGGGGCACTTCACCACTGAATCGATCCTCCAGAGGCTTGTTACCTCAGTAATTGACCAGTTGATAACAATAGCAGCAAGTTTTTTTGTAAGATTACAATGTAGGTTTTTTTCCCAGGAATTATGGCAGATAACTTCTACCCCTCATCCTCAGGGGCACCCAAGCCCAGGGCAAGGTCCCCCAGGAGGCCTAAAGCAGATGGCAGAGGGAATTCTGCCCCTCAGCAATCTTGGGAGCAGGACTCATCCAGGGCAGGATCAATTATCCCAGGGCCTATGGACAACATTCCTTTGGAAGGTCCATATTGAGCCCCTCTCTGCCCACTGCAATTCTGCCCCAGGGGCCTGGTCTCCCCCTAGGGAAGTGGGACAGATGACCCTAATAGCTCAGCAGTGGACTTAGGAGCGCAGGGACCTGCTGTCCAGGGCATATCTAGCCCTTCAGCCACCTTACACCCACTGCAGCAGGACTTGTCCTCCTGAGCCCCAACCATCAGGACTAGAGCAGGTTCAGGACATGATAGCTCAGGCCCTGGCCCAATTCAGGGCCACTTCTGCCCTTAACATCTCTCTCAAACCGCAGCACCACAGTCTCCACCTCGTCCTGACTCGCCAGGCCTCACAGAGGACGTCTCATCGGAGTTGGGATCGGACCACTACAATTCTTCTCGCCTGATCCTATCAGATGATAAGGTACCCCAGCACGGGCTCCTTGACCATTCCCTTTTCAACTCCTTGCTCCTCAAGGCCTGCACCATGGCCACGTCACATGTCCCTTGCCCCCCGTTCTTCCTCAACACAGTGCAGAAACAGTGGGATAACCTGGGTTCTCTTCCCAGTCTGGGATCTACAGAGAACAACTTGTTCAGTGTGACCCCCTCCCTCGCTCCTTTTTGGAGGTCCATCAGGTTGATGAGCTTCTGATGTCTCTGTTTCCCAACAATGATATCCCAGGGGACATAGCCAAAGCTCTTAAGGCTGAGGTCAAAAGGAATGAAACGGCCCTCCCTTAGGGACACAGGGCTTTGGTAGGTCCCACTAGTGGATTCTCCATCCAATCATGCTGAAGAAGGGGCGTTATCTTACCTGAACACCTTTTCTCAGCATGATGATGAAGAATCCACCCCCACCCCAGATAAAGTCAGTTGGTCCTGATTCCAATGAGAGAAACGCAGGTGCGTGGACTAACGTCTGTACATTGACTCAGTCTCAAACTGGGCATGGGGACAAAGGGAGGCATAACTTTAACTCTGACTTAGTCTGATTGGAGCAGGAAGATTAAGACAACCCACTAGTGGATTCTCCATCATCATGCTGAGAAAAGGCGTTCAGGTAAGACAACACCCCATTTCTTCAGTTTGTTTGCAGAGATGGCATTTGCTGTTTGTTGTATTCTCAATAATGGTTTTATATGCATTTTCTCGTAAGGCCTGTTCTTCTGCAGCCAGAATTAGCCTTTGTCTCTTTCTTCTACTTTCCTGCTCTTAGTCATTGCCAGGTCTTTTTGCTATCTATTTTGCCTAATAGTTGATATTTTTTTAATATATTGGTCATGTAATACTTTGCCTTGCCATGTTTCTTTTCTATTCTTCTTTTGGTCTTTATAGGCCAGCTTGGTCTCTTTGGTATTCATTAAATCTTCATAGTGTACTAGTTTTACTGTATCATCTTCACTGTCCTTGGAAATTCTTCCAATGTTCTTTATACTTTTTCAACTTTGTTGTGTACTTGCAACATTCCATACCACTTACGTTCTTTGGTATAAAAAGAGTGTGTCTACTTCACTGCATGGATGAAAAACATGATTTATGTTATTGTCATTATTTTTCTGGTCTTCCTATTCAGGGCTTTTAGCTCTAATTGAGTCCAGTCTATTCTAACCTAAATATTGGAATTGGCAAGGTATTATTTGCCAGGATGGTATTTCCACCACTGGTTATTATTATAATTATTTCATATTCCACTTTCATCCAGAATGACAAGATTACCTATTATAGCAATCACACATCAAACCAATTAAATAAAAAAGAACATTGCTGTAATATCATTCTTCTCCCCATCCCAGAATAAAATTTGAAACAGAATCTCCAAGACCCTGGGTGATATTTAAACTATGAAACATTTTTTTTTGCTCTTTAAAAGTATTGATAAATCAATGTATAGGTAGTTTAAAAGACAAAGCAAAAGGAGATTATCTGTCCTATTTATGGTCCCTTGAAGAAGTGTTCTTTTCAGAACCATGATGATGCATTTCGTAGAATTCTACCAAGAGCCCAAAAGAGAAGAAAATCTGTGCTCATCACTGAGAAGCAATGATTAATGGTGATTATGGTGATTAAAGATGAACAATAGGTCCTGGATATTTTTGGTTTTCTCAGCCCACTCCCAACTCTTCAACAGATGACAAGTGCAATACACAGCTGCAGGATTATTCAGATTCCTTCTTTTTGCAGTTTTAGGAGTTAAGCAGCTATAAACCTCCTTATATTTATGGATGTTCCATCTCTTCTTTCTCTCTCCTTTTAAGCAGGTATTATATCCTTGAATATTAATTTAGCAATGGCAGATTCTGTAACTTTGAATCTATTTTTCTTCTCCCACTCACTGAATTTTAAAATATACTCTTGTTTCAACATTTTAAACAGCAGAGGAATTACTACTAAATTCATTAATTGCTTTTTTTGTATAGATCAAATTGAGGAGAACATCTGGAAGTGCAAACTTAATGCCTGGTCATAGTAAAAAAAACTAGAAGTGAGCCAATAAGCTGAGTCTATACAATGATTTAAACATTAATATGATTTGATTAATTTTTGTCTTATGAAGCCAGTTAATCATGTTTCCAAGCAAAGTTGAACCAATTTAGCATTATGTGTGACACACATTGTTATGGCTTATTCAGAGGAACCAATGCAAAATGAACTAGGCAAACCTAATCAATAAACACGTAATTGTTCAGCCTAAATTGTCTTACTCAAGAGTTGCAGTTGTCTAAAAGACTACATTTTCATTATTTGGGTACATCTTGTGGTAAATTTGGAAATACAGCAATGTAGAATGAAGTGATTTTACTATTGGAAAAATTGAATGTTATGATCTTATTACACTTAATTTGTGTCATTACCTGATCTGTTTTCAAGCCTAGGTAGGTAGGTAGGTATGTAAGTAGGTAGACAGATAGACAGACAGACAGATAGATGCTCATATCATCATAGAGATCTTGCATACTCTAAAATATTTTAAATACTACATAATTCTATTATTGTCTCCTTTTCACCATTTGTACCTATGTGTACATTAAGTTCTTCAATACGTGGTATCTTAGAGAAGCCCTGCCTTTGAAAGACTAAATGTTGGTGTCTAATAAATATTCTTTTATTTTTCTGAGTATTCAAATGCAATTATAATTCTGCTGTAATAATTGTGTGAATCTTATTGATATAAAATATACATATGTGGTGCGTATATGTTCCAATAAGAGCCATACAATTCTAAACATATATATATGCACACACATGTAATTTTTTATTCATTTTTATTCATTGTTTTGGATACAGGAGAATATATACAAAAAGAAGTAAAATATTACAAAATGTTATAGATATTATAAAAGAAGAATAAAAAAACAAAGTAAAAGGTAACAATCATGTTCATTATATCCTTTTGTAAAAAAGGAGGAGCCTGTTTCAGGTACTGATTCCATGGAGACTAGATATTCAGTGACATCACCACTATGATGTATTAAGGCTTGCACATACAGTGGTATTATTTGAAGACTCTGTTTCCATACAACAACTATGTTTCTGTTGTTCACTCTCATACGTCCTCATTTATTCTTGATTTTTTTTTTTGCTTCTTCCCTTATTATCAAATATATTGGTTGCTAGGGCCATAAGTAGCTATAAGGTAAATAGGTTGGTTGAATTAATGGTTGCTGTCACTGTATAATAATAGCTACTATGAACAGCTCCAAAAAGAGTATCTGGGCCTGTCTCTCAGGAAATAGTTCTCTCGTTCTTATATACAGAGAGAGAGAGAGAGAGAGAGAGAGAGAGAGAAAATACTTCTTAGTCACAGGGGTTAAAAATTAAACAGATGGACTCAAAAAGATAGGATAATTAAGATGCACGATAAGGAAACACCCTCTAGTTACAACCAATAGTTTTTTTCTCGGAGACTTGCTATTTTTTTTCTTCCTGTAAAGGTTTCACTTTCCAGTCAGATTTGTAGCCCTGGAATTACCTGGCTATTTCCAATATTTATGCACTTTTTAAAACAATCAACAAGATCTGGACAGGAATACATAAACTTGTACTACCGTGTTTCTCAAAAGTAGGACCTACCCCCAAAATAAGCCCTACCTTGATTTTGGGAGGTGGGCACATACCTAAAAATCAAGCTTGGGTGGGGGTGGGGGGTGAAGTTTACCATTGCAGCCAGGCCTCCCATGACTCGACATTTGCCTCACCTTGCTGACCCACTTCTTCTGCAGCCAAAAGAGCAGCTTCATTCTGCAGCTGACAATGGAGCTCTGGCCTGCATTTCACTGTCAGAAGTCTTTTTGGAAGACCTCTGCAGTCGAAAACCAAGCTATGATAGTAGTACGGTAGTACAAGTATATGCATTCCTGTCCAGATTGAATCCATAGCTTGGTTCTCGGCTGTAGAGACCTTCCAGAAAGACCTCCGACAGTGAAATGCAGGCCAGAACTTCATTGTCAGCTGCAGAATGCTGCTCCTTCAGCTGCAGAAGAAGTGGACCGGCTGGACGGGGCTGTCAGTGTTGCTGCTGTGAGGTGAGTGAAAAAGACATCCCTTGAAAATAAGACTTGGTGCCTCTTTTGAAGGCAAAAAATAAAAAATAAAAGATCAAGTCTTATTTTGGGGAAAACACAGTATGTACATTGCAGATTGAAGATACTTCTTGGTATAAAGCCACATTGTACTTTTAATCATATGGAGAAATAAATATTTATTCCATGGCAATTATTGATTTTTATTTTGGGGAGCATGACCAAATAAAACCTGTCATCTAGGCAATCAAAGTTATTACAATTTTATTATGTACTTCTAGTTTCAGTCCTGCTTTGTGAGATAATTATCTTGGAAATTCATCTATTACATTAACATCTGCTATAGTTTCAAACATTTTTTCACCTTTGTTGACCTATTGGCAATCGTCTGCATTATTTTTTCCCCACAGTGTAAGATATACTTACTATATGCATAGTTATTCTTTCACATGCAAGATTTTCTTGTATGATGAAGTATACAGACTACATTTTGACTCAATGTATGTAATAATGAATCCTACACAAAAGCCATAGAAATTATAATATTTTTAAGTTTAATGACTTTCTTTGAATTGTTTTTGGTTAGTAAAATGTAAAATCAAGTAAACAAATGTTTTATTATTTACATAAGCCAATTGTGACATTAGGCAGCTTACAAATAAAAGAAAAATGATACATATAAATAGAGAGCATAGCCTATTGAAAGAATAAACATCCAGTTTTAAACCACTTAAGAGTATTATAGTTATACTAAAAACATGTATTACTTACAAATGGAGTTGTGCACCAGAACTAATTCACAAGTTTTGTTTTCATACATTTATTTTATAATTTATTTGGGAGAATTTTTTTTTTAAATAAAGATGATTCCATTAAGAAATTGAAACCAGATCAGCCCATAAATCAAAAAGGAAGTTTTAGTAATATATTTCACCAAGGCTTCAGCACTAGAGCCATTAAGTAAGGTTTTTTTAATCAAAGAGGTGTTATTAAACCATGTATCTGAATTAAATGAGACTGTCTTTGAAAGTCATTTCTGTTCCTAAGCCATTTTGTGATAGAACTTTACATGAAGAACTGTATAGCCTTGTAACTGTATGTATGTATGTATATATGTATGTGTGTATGCATGCATTTCATTATTTTTCATTATTTTTTAGGGAGTCTGTCTAGGAGTTCTTATAGAAAAATAGTGATGATTAATTTCCTTTAGCGCACATAAAACCTCAAGGGCTTATCAGCCTGGGAATAAGGATTCATTAACCATGAGACCCTGCTATACTCTCAAAGTCAGTGCTATCACAGCTAAATTAGACAAGACTCTTCAACTACAAGAAGCTTTCTTCAGTGGAAATAGAATTAATTGCTAAGGCTTTGCTTAAAAATAAAAAATGGTTATGCTTATAGAAATTGCCAGAGTTCTGTCTAACCCAGAAGACTTGCTGGCAATTGAATTCTCCTGCAGGCAGGGATTTCAAAATCTGGGTTCAAGACCCCCTATAATATAGAAGCTCACTTCATTACTTTAGACTAAATATTATCTTTAGTCAAATTGTATTGCCTATCTCATAAAAACATCTCACAAATCTCAGTCTGACAACTCAGTATTTCAGTATAAACTAATGTATTTTGATTACATAACATTATGGGTTGAATTACTGATATATACAAGTAATATGATTCTGAGATTCCAAACATTTTTTTTAATAATTACCAATCTGATCTCCCTATGCTGTAAACACTAATCTGAAGGAAAACAAATTATCTAAAAAAAAACATTTGGACTTTAAAATTAATTATACCATTCTAAATTTAAAATGTTATCTAATATATGTTTCCTTATTATAATTTATACTAAGGTTGAAATGACCATATTAACAGTTGCAAAATTAATTATCAACTTAACCTATAAACTCTTGGTAAGAAATTTTAATTCAGAAAGCTATATTTGTAACATTTTACTGTTCATTCTTTACATTTTTTCCTTTAAATACGCAGCAAAGTGTAAATGAAATAAATCATAGAATAATAATTCACATAAACTAGTGCTTGAGCTATAATTCAACCTTGGTAATTTTTATTAAGTAGTTAGTAAATCAAAGTATTATTTATGATATGATTTCTACACCTCAGAAAGCTCATGATTATCTCATTAAGACAGATATCTGTTTGGCACTTATTCTACAGATATAAGCAGGAGGCTGTGATCAGTAAGTACAACAACAGGGGATAGTTCAGTCTCTTTACAAATTAAGAAACAAAGTGAAGGTGGCCAACCACTACAGATTTTAACAGTGTAGTAATACCAATTTCAACAGAAGTTGCATTGCTCAATTACATATATTAAATTTTAGTTTTCTTATTAACATAGATGTTGGATATGGAGTACAGTTAGATTGTGTTTAATTATTATAATTGAACCTAGAGACTAAGAGACTAATGTCAGATAAATCAGTTAGTTTTCTTTCTCAGCTTGGTCTGAAAGCTAGTGATAGACCAATGCTGGTGACTGCCATTGAATCACAGAAGGCTTATTCATCTACTGTATAAGGAAAAAATTAAAATTTTCCTTATAGATGTACATCTATATAGAAATACATTTTCTTACTTGCCTTCATTTCACAGGTAATACATTTATTTACCTTAGAAAGCATTTGCTTTGCCATATATTTTTTCCCAGCTCTTGAGCTCTTTGATGGTTTATTCTCAAATAAGCATGTAAAAGATTGGGACTTGGGCACTTTTCTCTCAGACCAATTTGCTCTTATTATTATGGATGAAAGGGGGGAAATGCCAAGATCAAAGGAATGTATGGAAATGACCAGAGTTTTCCTAATTTTCAGATCTCTTTCATTGATTAGTAAACTTCTCTTTTATTCTCTCTATATGTATTGAATGGAAGAGAAGTTTGCAAATAAATATAAATAAATAAATAATCAGGGATGAGAAATGTGTTGCCTTCCAAATGGGGACTCTTTAACTGGCTGGAACTGATGAGACTTGTAATTTAGCACATCAAGAGGATAACAGATACCTATTATATATGTCCACATGGGGCGAGAGAAGGAAGTGATGAAATTTCATAACATCTTCAGAATGGAAGTTCAAAAGGCAGAGCTTGCATTGTGATCTCCATCCCTATTATATCTGCCCTATATTAATAAGTCACATGAGTAAAAAGGTGGATAGTATTTTCAGGTTATTTAATTCAAAAAAGGAGAAAATAAACAGTCATGCTTTATATAATTTCCAAGCACAAAAAAGACTCAAGATCATCAGCATCTTTTGAAAATATTAGCATGGAAGAATTGCTCAGCTGGATAAAAATATTTGAAGAAATATTAATAGAAATATTGTATTGTAAAATATGCCGCTCTGGAGTTCTTTCAGCTCCAAAGGCTAAATTTAAGTTTCAATAAAAGGGCTTAATTAATATTGTTCCTACTTCTATCATTTAGACAAAAACCTGGTAGAACATTGGATTAATTACATACCAAGAAAACTGAGCTAAATAAACTACAATTCATCAATTTTAAATGCTTTTCTTTTTAAACACAGTCTGTTCATGGAATACTTCAGAACAAAATGTTCATTTCCTGAATTACAGGTAGCTTTCAAAATAAAGTGAACATGCACAGAATAAGCAGGTCCTAGCTATGACAGATCTTTAAGCTTTCATTACATTTTATATTTTAAAAATCAGGTAGTTCAAATGCTATTTTTACAATACAATTTGTGGGTGTTTTTGCATATTAAGAGGTAATGTAATCTCTGGCAAGGTTCTGTCTACTAATAAAGGAGAATATTTGTAGCTCAGGGTTGAAATAAGGGATTCTTGGTGCTCCCTGAGCTTAGTTGTTTTCTTACAGATATTTCACTACGTTAAATAGGTAATATCATCAGTGTGTTACCTAGTTTGGGTAATGAAAAATCTGCAAGAAAACAACCAAGCTCAGAGAATAACAAGGACCCCTCAAGATTCTGTCTATATCAGGGCCTGCGGTTTGGTTGCATCATGCAGAGGCCGCACCCATCCCAGCTCCAGCAATGCAAAAAAAGTCACGATACGTTGTGACACGTCACGTGACACGTCACGTGACACGGCAAGTTTGACACCCATGATTTATATGGTATATGCAAATAATGAATTTAATTTTGTCTGGATTGCTTTATGTCTTTCTTGGGCTAGTCCTGATATCAGCCTTGCCAGACTAAACCTATATTGCCTTAACATAATGGATATACTCTGGAAGATTCTAGAAATAAACTAACCTTAATTTCTTCCTCTTTCTCATAGCTCCAGACTGTGTTGTCTCTTATCTCCCCCACTCCATTGGAACATGCTTCCTCTTCCCTGGAAATCTACTGCAGTTCATCACATCATCTTCCCCTTTATAGATGTGTTCCATAACAGTTAGCAAAAGGCACCTGTTATGATATCAGTTCTGTCAAAACTAGCTGAATCATTTGCACAAAATATATGAAACATCTGTGCTTGGGAGAAATGGAATAGAATCTTTAGCTTCAGCTTTAAGGTTCATGCTTGTATGATTGAACTTGCTCCCTTCAGAAAGTGGGTGGGCTTTTTTGTACAAGAGAGAGAAACCAGCCAGAGATGAAAGGCAAAGGAGAGGGGCTAGCAGACCCTACTTAGCTTCTAAACTCTAAAGCAGTGTTTCTCAACCTTGACAATTTTAAGGCACGTGGACTTCAACTCCCAGAATTCCACAGCCAGCAATGCTGGCTGTGGAATTCTGGGAGTTGAAGTCCACATGCCGTAAAATTGTCAAGGTTGAGAAACACTGCTCTAAAGGAACTTCTGGGATAAGGAGAAGGGTGTTGAGTTAAGATACTTAACAAACTTTGCATGCTGCATCACACAGCTTCCTTAGAAAGATAGTGTTGGATATTGGTGGAAGAATGGGAAAATATGTAGCTGAACTCACTGAAATTTATGTGATGTTGTGATTTAAAAATAAACTTTTATAAAATGATAAACTGTTGGTACATGCCTCCAGAAAAATTATCTAGAATTATAAAGTTATTTCAAATGTATATAGGAAATATGGAAACTAGGAAGGCTGTTTCGATCATGACTGGTGGATACAAAAAAGCCAAAAAACGTTGGGTTCAAATACAATCAAACAAAGAATTTTAAACATGTAATTGAAATAGTAAATATTCTTGTTGGAACTAATTGATAGATAAATAGAAAACAGTTGTGGAAGACTGCTTTGTATAAGGTCACTGCTACAATTATTGTATGCACAAAAATGGAAAGAATAAAATACCTACAATGGAGGAATGTCTGTTGAAGATGACAGAATTAGCAGAGATAGAAAAATTGAGTTGTTTGTTTAGAAAAGGATAATTTTATTTATTTATTTATTTATGGGTTGTTGTTTTTTATATCCTACCTTTATATCCTCCTCCTCCATTTTCAATCATTATAATGTTTGGCCTTTGGTCAGTTGTTATTACCAATATATTTTTAAGAATAAGAATAATATTTGTGGATGAAAATATTGTGTCATTAGGTGACAGATGAACAAGATTTAAAAAAAAAATCTCCTCATGGCAGGTATAATTTGTCTGAAACCACCATTTAAAGTGATCTATTCAAAATAGGGAATAGTGAGTTTCTGTCTCCCATTAGCACACTTACTCTGTACTTTACTGTATACGTTTCGGAGATCCTGATGAGCACAATAAAAGTTCTTATTTGCATGCAAAGTGCCATGCATGAGGGATTTCTCTATCCCTTTTATGCATAAGAGAAAGTGATTGACTCACTTTTCCAAACATTGTTTAAGAAACTTTCCTCCTCCCCAGTTTATTCAACAGCTCTTGCCAGGTGCTGAGACCCCGTCCCTCCCCAAAGAACTGTTGTGCATCTGGACTATGCTGTAATGGTGACTCAAAATTTCTATTGACAGAGCAGATGAAAAGATCAATTTTGCTAGTGCTTTCCAAAGCATGAGATCATGGCTTCTTAGTAATTTGAATTATGAATTTTATTATCTTCTCTAGGTTCTTAATTGCACAACTAATGCACTTAGGTTTTTGTAAAAATATACAAAGCTTTCAATACATGTACTCAATTAGGCTTGGAAACATTACGACTTCAGAAAACGCTACCATCCTTTTTACCCATGGAATTAACAAATTGACAGTTTGATTCAAGCTTGCAATTCTTTAATGCTGGCTCCTCTCACTTTAGAAAGTACATTTGAGAGTTATCATTTGAGAATGAAGCATTATGAATGGCCTATGCTTCTAGCATACAGTACCTATATGAAGAACAGATAAATTAACTTTACATTATTGTTCTTGGCATGTCTCATGCCTTCAAAGACTTATGCAACAATTTATCAAAGGGGATGAAATATTAACCTGGCCAAACCATGGCATCTATGAAAATGAAGTGTGTATTTTTTCACCTAAAATATGGATTGTACATTAAGCTGTACATTAGGCCTGCCATAAACAAATGACCTTAGTATCCCATCATCTTACATAATGTATCTCTGTTATGCAAATACTGAGAAATTACACTGGCAGAAGAAATATGAACCAATTTGTTCCATTGGCATACTTAGATAATCATGTATTTTAACTGAGATGCTGACCTATTTTGTAAAGTTGTCATTACATTTGGAATGTAATTTGGAAAAACATCACTTTGCCCCCCCCCTTCTTTTTTTTAAATGCTCATTTACAGGAACACAAATTGATTAAGCTGCAGGTCCAATGGACCCTGAAAGAAATGAATTGTCTGGACCCATTTCAATTCAGTTACCATATATAGCATGGGTAACACTGACCATGCTTAACTTGGCTAGAGATATTGGAACCATCCTCATCCCAATGACCTTCTGAGGCCTCTCTGAGGATTAAGAGTAGGAAGCAATATTTTTCAGTGGTTCTCCTCTTTTCTGAAGAGACAGTTTCAGTCAGCAGAGTAGGAGAGAAAATAAGATCTAGTAGAATAGACTCTTTATATGTCTTCTTGAGCTGCCCAGGGTGAATAGATGAATAAATTAAAGATTGCCATGTTTGGAGGCCACAGAAGCATATATTTTCCTTTGGTATTCCTCGTATTATGGAATAGAAACCCCATCTATGATATTCAGCCATATTTTAATCATAAGATACAAATGTTCTCCTTATCAGAAGCACTTAAGCAATCAAACTTTCCCAAATTTCATTTTCTCAGGAGTTATAGGTCCCAGATTTCGGACCCATTCTATAAGTTAGCCAATTTAAGGCATCTTGGTTTAAAAAATGTTGCCTTATGATGCACCATTTCACCCAGGTAAAGGTTATGGCAACTGGAGTTTTAGTAATATATATTTAATAGATTAATATTGTTCTTTTGAAACTGTTATTATAACTTTTGTAGCCATCTTGCAAACAGTATTTATAACAATTCACAGTGATGTCAAACTGATGTCCTTTATGTTATGGCATCATTGGGCAAATGCTAGGATTGTGTATTTGTGATCATTAATGGAAATATGTTATGTCACATCATTTGCATTTAGCTGTAACAATGCTTGAGTCACTATTTATCTGCTTCTCCTCCTTCAAATATTCATGTTGACTTGCCAAATTTGAAAAAAAAAACTTTAATTCTTTGAATTGTCATTGTTTTCTTATTTCATAAGAAATAAGTTTTTATCCCTTATTGAACTAATTGCTGTGGCTCTAAGTGATAAACGTCTTATGGTTAACAGCATTTTGAATCAGCTGTAGTAGCTACTGAAATAATGTAAGAGGAAATAAGTACAGCAGATGCAACAGAGGCCAAATCAACAAAAGTAAAAAGAGTGGGGGGGGGGAGTTTTCAACTACACAGGAAAAAAGGTCACAGACCTCACATCCTACACATATCAAAGCTAACTTCTGTTTCTTGCTTTTTATTTCTTACTAGCAAAGGTATGCCATTTTCCTTTTGTCTTCTATTAAGTACTGCTTATCTATCATCCCCCCATCTCTGACCCCATTTCAGAGTGTTACAAATAAATGTTATCTAAAATTAGGTGTGCCTTTCTGAAAATAAAAAAAAGTTGTACTTATACTAATTTGGAGAAATAAGACTCAACAATTATAAGGAATCATTTCCAATATCCATATTTAGAAACAGGGTGATAAGATTCCAAGAAGCTGTAAACTGACCCTAGCACAATGACAACTGATGTTGCTGGCAAATTACAAAACTGTAGTCGGATTCATCTATGGCATCATGACATCTTTAAACATGTGGAGCTGAGATTAACTATTAACTAATTTTTATTTTGGAATGCCTCGTAGTTATGAAAATCTCTGTGCCATTCAGCTCTGAAAACCATTTATAATGTATTATTTCCAAACTGTTCTGTTTTAAGCTCCCAAAAGTTTCAGTTTCGGATAAAGGGAAAATATCTACTGAATGTGAGTAGGGAAGGGTTTACTTTTAGCCTTGGAATGCTGCTAGTATGCCATATATTAATTCATTTTTCATATCTGTCTGCAGCATGAATCAATGCCATATTTGAGAGCCTGAAAGCTAAGGAGCTGCATTTTCATTCTTCTTACCTTATCCTGTCTGTTGATTCATCTCCCGTCCCTTTCATAACTTTGATATTGTAATGCTAAATTTACTCTGGTGATTAATTAGACACTGGCCTTTCTTTATATGCATGCAGTATTTTCATGCAATAAGACATTTTAAATTTCCATTCAGTTTTATATAGAGTGTATTGCTTAAACATGATTCAAATAAACAGTAAAATGTGAGGATATCCATGGTTATAAAACAAGAAAGGATAAGAATCACAACTGGAATGTCTTACTAAACAAAATTGCTTTAAGCTGATAATCACAAATTAGCTTCAAAACAAGCCGCATAATGATTTACAGATAGAGTGCTAACCACATAGAGTATTTTATCCTTGAACCCCTGGTGCATGAAGGACTACTGACACCAACAGATTATGTCTCTTGACTGCTATTTGTATTTAACTTATTTTTGTATTGTTTAAATGTTTTAATTGTTTTTATGATTATGAGAGCACTAGTTTGAAATTAGCAGCTATACAAATTAAATAAGTAAGTAAGTAAGTAAGTAACTAAGTAAGTAAGTAAGTAAGTAATATCAAAAGAAGTTGAGTAATGTCTAAACAAGGAAGTTTGAAGCTGCTACAATAATTTGCATCAGGTAAAAATGTGGAAACAATTGAATTAGATGAAAATCAGGAACAATAAAACAAAAGTATAGTGATAGATAATGGATTGACATCTATAATTTTAAACAATCCATTGAAACATTAGTGCTTTATTATCAATATCATTTTCAAATTAGAACTAAGCATCTCTAAGGAATTAAGTATATTAGAAATATATTTAGAAAATGTTCATTCTATGTTCATAGAAAATAGAAGGAAATAATAGATTCCTTCCTTGGTGATTAAGGAATAAACATAATAGCATTTGTTGTGCCATTTATGAGTTCATGGTTGCCCATTGTTCTATATATTCATTAAAGAATCAATGTTACAGTAAAACTAAAATTTTACAGTAAAATCAAGATGATTGACAACAGTAATAAACTGTTAATGCATATTCTTTTTTCTGCAGTTTTAACATGAAACAAAAGATGAATTTCTTCATACCATCATAATTAATGAATAGTTATCAGTAAATGTCTGATAAAAATGTCAAAGAGTAATCTTTACTTATTTTTATTTATTTATTTAGTATGCTACCCAATTTAGATTTCCTTAAAAACATGGATATATTAGGCCATTTTATCTGTCTATTAAATAATGTGTTTGGTTAGAGGTCACAAATGTAAAAAGAGTATACCAAGGTTGTATGCTATCACCTTTTTATTTAACTTGCATGCAGAATGTGGTTTGAGGAATACTTCACTAAAACAAAAAAGCGTATATATGAAAAATATTCTGAAAAAATTATCAACATTAAATATGCTGATAACACCACTTCTTGCAGCTGAAAGCAAAGAATATGCTTTGCTTTCTTTCTTCATTTTACTAAGGATGAAAAAAGAATACAAAAATTAGTGTGCTATTCAATAATAAGAACTAAAAAAAATCAAAAGAATGTCGATCTAGGGAAAAATTAGTGGAGAAGAAATATCATCAGACTTTATCTTTCTCAGCTGAGAAATTCACAGGGATAATGACTAGAACTGTGAAATATCTACTACCTGGGCAAAAGACTGACAGAACCAGAGAAAATGTTAAAGTGATGAGACATCACACTAACAAAATATACTAACAAAAGTATATTTATTAAGGCCATGTTTTCCTAGTTATAATATATAGCTGTGAAAATTGGACCATCAGATAAAAAGCTGAATAAAGAAAAGTTGATATTTTTGAATTGTGATACTGAAAAAAAAATGCTAAGATTGCCCTGGACTGCAAGAAAACAAATAATTCAATATTAGAAGTAAAACTAGATTGCTCAGTGGAGGTACTAATAAAGGAGCTAAAATGCTTGATAAAACTGAACACAATTTTTATAAACAGTGAACAGAAATTATTGTGGCTAGATAATATAACTGTTGACACAAGCATGAGCTGGCAAGAATTCAAGCAGTTAGTGGTAATTCCACGGTGAAATATATTTCAGATGAAGGAAACTTCTAAATAATTGAGTGACTGATCAATAATAACAGCCACAAAGTTCCTCCTGATTGTGCAAGCAATCATGCATGTTCTTGCTAAACTTTAGCGGAAAAATAGTGACAGCTTGTTAGGCATTTAGATGGCATTACCTCCAGTTTTCCAACCTGTACAAACAGGTTTCATAAAAGGTTATTAAACACATGATAATAGATTGTTAATTGAATTCTGGATATCCAATTGAAATTTGGGAGTAGGGGGTAGTCTTGTTGGATGTATGAAGGATTTTGATATATAGATAGTCCTTATATAGCAACCAGAATTGGGACCTGCAACTTAGTGCCAATTCACTGAAGCAGTCGGTAAGCGAAACTGAGACTGCCAGCTTTCCTTTGCTGTACAGATTTGTGAAGGATATAAATGCGAGAAATGGTTACAAAGTAACTTTTTCATCACCATCGTAATCACAAATGGTTTCTAAACATAGCAGTTACTAAACGAGGACAACCTATAGTGTATATTCATGTGATACACAAACACACACACATATACATACATACATATAATATACATATATATCTCCAGAACAAAATGCTTAGCTGATGAACAACACCTAAAAACTGAACTACACACTCTCACTAATGTACTAACATCCAATGGTTTCCAAAGAAATAAGATTACAAACCTAATCCAAAAAGAAACCCCCACTAAAATCCAAGACAGAGAACAAGAAAACGGCAAAGCCCTCCTCCCATACATAAAAGGCATCACAGACAGAATCAGCAAGATCCTCCACAGACACAACATCAAGACAGCATTCTGCACAAACAGAAAAAATATCTACCATCCTAAGAAACCCCAAAGACAAAATTGAGTTAGAAAACCAAGGAGTATATGAAATCCCATGCACCGCTTGTCCCACCACATACATCGGACAAACCAACAGAAGAATAAGTGCACACATTGAAGAACATAGAACTCCATCAAAAAAGAGGAACCAACTTCTTCCCTGGTCCAAAACCTTAAAGCCACAGGACATAAAATTGACTTTAAAAAGACCAGAACTATAGCGAAAACTGAACACTTTAATAACAGAATAATAAGAGAAGCCATCGAGATAGAAAAATGCCCACACAGCATGAATAAACAAGATGATACCTCTCGCCTACCAGCCATTTGGAAACCCGCCCTTATTGACAAATGAGTCCCTAACACAAAGGATTACACTAGACCCACACTCACAAAAACCACACAGATGTCACCACCATACATCCACGCAAAAAGCAAACCCAAACCCACACCGATGATGAAGCATGACCACAAACCAGAAGCCAGACCACAGCTGCATCATTAGCCACTTTAAACTCCTCCAATCCATACATGAAGCAAACTGACACCCACCATGAAGATGAGGCACGACTACGAACGCGAAGCCAAACAACAGCAATGCACCTCTCCCTGCAACTCAGACTAACCCTAAACAACAAAGCCCCCATCCAAACAGAACACTCCCCCAGCCAATCAGAGCACAGCCAAGCCCCTAACCAACCAGAACACACTTTCACCCAATCAGAACACAGCCAAGATGCCATCCAATCAGGTCATACCCCCACTGGCAGTTAAAAGGAAGAAACAGCTATGATCACACATTGCTCCTAGAAGCACAAAGCCAAAAACACCAGCCTGAAGATGACGAATGGGACTTCGTCGAAACGTCGCCAAGACACTTCCAGTTGATGTGGGAGAAAACCCAAATAACCAAAGACGTACATACATATATACATATATATGTGCGCTTTTTCTTTTTCTTCATTTTGTTTAGAAAAGAACTATTTTATTTCATAAATTAATTGTTTGAATGCACATTTAAAAGGTGTTAGAGTAAAATATAATTTCAACTCATTTGTATTTTAGATCATCTTCTGGCTAATGAAATATGTAACGTTTTAGTTATTGGAAGAAGAATTTAGATTTGCTGAAACTGTGAAATCGTTATATATTCAGTT